ATCTTAGGGAAATCTTGCTAAATTTGGTGGAATATGGTTACTTTATGGCTGCTGAGAGATTTCGTGGGAGAATGAATTCAAGAGCGGTGTGGAACATTTTAAGTGTTGGAAATATCGACCTCCTAATGGTATGATATCAATGGAGATGCATTCCTTACTTATAAATTCAAGACCCTCTCCATAATGGTATGATATCAATGGAAATGGAGATGTATTCCTTACTTATAAACTCCGGATCAACCTCTTAATTAGCCGATATGGGACTCCTCTTCCAACAATCCTCCCCTCGAACTCGAACAAAGTACACTATAGTGCCTCCCTTGAGGCTTATGGAGTCTTCAAACAGCCTTCCCTTAATCGAGGCTCGACTCCTTCTCTGACGCCCTTGAACAAAGTACACCTTCTGTTTGACACTTTAATCACTTTTGACTACACTTTTGAGGTCTCAACTTCTTTCTTCGACATTTGAGGATTCAATTGACATGGCTAAGTTAAGGGCATGACTCTAATATCATGTTAGAAATTGATAGAAATCACGTCTCTCCATAATGGTATGATTTGAGGGTTTCTTACTTATAAACCCACAACTAACCCCTTAATTAGGTGCCGACGTGGACTCCTCTTCCAACAATCCTCAATAGTTTAAGGATGGAGTAGAAATTAATGTTTAAAGGTCGAATGGTACTAAAAGTAGACTAACGGAAGTAATTGTTGTTTTGGAGTCCTAAGGAAGATGATTTCACCATTTCGGATTGAGAATGAGTGTCATTACAATCTGTGTGGAATTGTTATTTGAATATGCATAAATGAAATTAACCGTTGGTTGATTATTGACAATTTCACGGGCGTTCTTTTGATATCTGAAACTAAAGACAAGCCGATCAAGCTTGTTCTATGGAGGATTAGAATGGTAATAACATCACTCATTGTTGCTAATTTTGCATTTGCAGAAAGACAATGCTGCTCCTGGATCAAAGTTTCGGATCCCACAAATGATATCGGACACTCTGGGATTTGGGCAGAAGCAGGATGCTACAGTGGATATACCACTGGATACGATGAATGTAACGAATATCATGTTCTGTCTTTTCTCACTTACATTTTCTTTACCTGGAAGAATCAAGTAACGCTTCATTTGGTTCATGTAGAATCTGAGGAAGAACGAGAGAGACATTGCCGCTTGGGAAGCAGAACTTAATAGGAAAGAAAAGGTATTCTTCGATATCCATGATTTTGTGTTTGCGTTTAGACTGATACTACCTTCAGCTTAGTCCATAACTTTACAATATATGAATATATCTGCAGAGGTTACCTAACTGTTCTTATGCCTCATTTTTACCAGGAAATCAAAAAGAGGGAAGAAGCTGTTTCTAGAGGTGGTTGACATCAAATGTTGTTTGATTTTGTTTCTATGAAGCTATCGACAATCTATAACTTTTTCAATGTTGCACAGCTGGTGTCCCTACTGATGATAGAAACTGGCCTCCATTTTTCCCCATTATTCATCATGATATAGCTAATGAAATTCCAGTACATGCTCAGAAGTTGCAGTACTTGGCTTTCGCTAGCTGGCTAGGTATGCAAAGTTAATTGTCTCAAATTCTTTTTTATTATTTTATAAACTTTATATCCAAATATTTGAGTATAAATTGTGAGATCCACATCGGTTGGTTGTAGAAGGGTACAAAACATTCTTTATAATGGTGTGACAACCTCTCTCTAGTAGACACGTGTTAAAAACCTTGAGGGGAAGCCCAGAAGGGAAAACCTAAAGAGGACAATATTTGCTAACGGTAGGCTTGGGCTGTTACAAACACATCGATTGGAAAAGGGAATGAGTGTAGAAAGGACATTGGGCTCTGAGAGGGGGGGGGGGGGGGGAAT